TAGTGGATAAAAGATAAACAGCGCAGAGGAAATGAAGGGCTGGCTTAACGTGCCAATGTTATGATATTTGCAAGGACAGTAAAAAAAGAATAAAATCCAACCATTTCCAATTTTAGTGAAGTAGTTACTATACATGTCTTATGAGCCCAGAGCCAGCACTGTTAGGAAGTGTAGCTAGCATTGCACCAGATATTCCAAAAAGCTGACCACATCGACTTCAGATAAAATTCAACATTCAGAAAAAATAGTCTGAAAATAAATTGAGGGAAGATAGGGAAAAAAAAAGTGGAAAGAGCAACAGCTGCACAGATTGGCTAAACGTAATAATCTGCTTTAATCAATGTCCATAATTTTTATTTAAGTAAATCAGAGAACAAACCTGAGACTCTTACTTCACTAGTTATTATCCTTAAGCCAAATGTATTTCAAAGCTGAACTGTAGGAGAATATTGCACTTCAGCAGACCCTGCCGAAATCACAAAAGAGGGAAAACTTGCAGTTGGTAACTACAAATTTTGATTTGGAGAGAACTGACCAGAGGTCCTTAATTGGGAACATGAGTGGAGCGCATTCATATTACTGTAACTAAAAATATTTTCACCTCGAGGAACTTGCTGAGCCTTCAGTGCTGAACTTAACATCTAAACATACATCTAAACAGGTTCTTCAGCGTAGTCTGTCACACCCCAGTGAGCCACTATTTGTTGTGCTCTCTTCACCAGAAAAAAAAAACAAAAACTTTTCTTACAAATCAAACAGAAAGAAACAGATATAGGTTATACTCAGAGTGTAACAGTGAATATCAAAAGAACAATGAAGCCAAAATGTAGCTTAAAAGCTTGCTTAATTTAAAGTCTGCTTTCTTAAAAGAGGAACTTTTATACAGTGGCAGACTGAAAAACGGTTTAGATTATTCCATTTTTCACATTCCTCTTGCAGTATTTCCAGGTGCATGTCAGAAAAAAGCTCTCAGTATTACAGACAGCTTGCTGTCCTGCTTGACAATGTAAGAAAACAAAACAAAGCCTTAACGCACTTAAACAATCTTACCATCATGTTTTCACTACCATGAAGACAATCAACAGAAAACAGCAAAAACAAAACAACATAATAAGAACTCCTGCTTCAAAAGCACAGTATTTTAGAATAGTTCCAACAATAGAACACAAATCTCAAACAGCAAAATGCTTCCTGATAAGAGGAGGTAGTAAAACACATATCCTTAGGAGGAAGTTAATCCAGCTGAACTCTTTCAAGTTCATTTTCAAATTCACACATTACCAAAGACAGGCCCTGACCTGTTTCACTGATACTTCTTGACCCCGAACCCACTCTCTGAAAAAACTTATTTCCAATAATGCAACAGAATTCTGCAGCCTCCCCAGGAAATAACTCATCACAACTCATAGCTGTAAACCTAAGGAGCCTTTCAGAGGATCTGTTCGCCAGCACACGCAGTAACGACCCAGAGTAGAACACACACATTAAGGAAGACAAACTACGTACAAGGTGGACTGTCTCTTGCTAAGCATTTGTGTGGTAATAATGCAATTGCACCCTCTCTGCTGCATTAAGGGCTTTAAGAGCCATCCAAAATTGAATTTATTGTCTTTTGCAAATTCACAGGGTTCCCATAAAAATAAGGAGGAAAAAAAAAGAATTTAGCAAAGCTTTTTAATAAAATAAAATATTTCTCTTCAATTCCACAGAACTCATTTAAATGTTTTTACATAATGCCAAACATTTCAACAGAAATACACACATCGAAATCAGAAGACAAAAATGATTACATACAACCAAAAACATGTTCCAAGGCTCAAAGTAAGCCCAATGAAAAAAGTATTAGTGGTCCACAAAAAGATCATTACAGTATAGCATTAAGATTTAATTTAAATAAAAATTACATTTAAGCATAATATAAAAATTCTTTCTTTTGAGGGCATCTCAAAAATTAAACTAGAACTGTATTTATTGTGACATTTTTTAAAGGAAGTTTTAAAAAGATGTAAAAGCATACTGTGTTAGCTGCATTGTTTAGTACTGCATAAACACTAAGTTAGGACTTTTGTTTACTTAAAGAATTACTAACACAAATATTCATAGAATAATTGCTGTTTCTGAGAGGATGCATTACTATTATGGACCTTCCCTCTGGTAATAAAGGCCACAGGGATTAAAAAAAAAAACTTTGGAAATAATAAAACCACCAACTCTGAAACCTGCCTGACACCAGGTTTCTGTCTAGCAGGAAATTTTACAACACTCTTGAAAACAGAGCTAAAAAAGTTTCTTATAATGGAAACTCTGATGGACCAAGAACTATAGTTATACAGGAGCTGTCACTGTAATATTCTTTCCTTTCCTTCATGTCACACCAAAATTTCCACTTTATTCTTCAGTTGTCATTCTTTTCTGTAAAGGTAGTCAATTAAAGAAACTAGGGAGTTCTGCAACCTACCTTCACAGAATCATCATGGTTGGAAGGGACCTCCGAGATCATCGAGTCCAACCACAAAAAGCAAACAAACAAAAAAAACAACCAACACCACACACACCCCACCACATCCCACACACCCACAAACCAATAATCTCGGGCACCAGAGCATGCCCTGAAGAGCCATGTCTACACGTTTCTTAAATACCTCCAGGGATGGTGACTCCACCACCTCCCTGGGCAGGCTGTTCCAGTGCCTCACCACTCTCTCAGTAAAGTAATTCTTCCTAATCTCTAATCTAAACCTCCCCTGCCCCAACTTCAGACCATTTCCTCTGGTCCTGTCATTATTCCCTTGGGAGAAGAGACCAACCCCCACCTCTCTACAGTCTCCTTTCAGGGAGTTGTAGAGGGCAATGAGGTCTCCCCTCAGCCTCCTCTTCTCCAAACTAAACATGCCCAGTTCCTTCAGCCTCTCCTCATAGGACTTGTTCTCCAGACCCCTCCCCAGCTTGGTGGCTCTCCTCTGGACACGCTCCAGCACTTCAATGTCCTTCCTGTAGTGAGGGGCCCAGAACTGAACACAGCACTCGAGGTGAGGCCTCACCAGTGCCCAGTACAGAGGCACGATGACTTCCCTACTCCTACTACCTTCTAGTTTCACACTTTTTTTTTTTAATTTTTCATGTTTTCACTAATTTTCATCACTAATTTTTCTTTTCAGCTTTAGCTGGTGACTTTTTGGATGCAATCTTCAGAAAGCCAAAAAAATGTGACTCAGCTGCTTAACTTTATCAGGGAGCTTTGTTTTTCAAGACTATTACCCCAAGAGAACAAACTCTTTGATTTTGATGACAATCAAATTTAATGAATGAAAGCAAAAACTCCACTACCTAATTAGCGCACCAACAATAATTTCCTACAAACTTCCTGAAATTTGAATATTTCTTAGAGATTTTGACTATGTAATAATACAGACAAGAACACTGAATACAACAGTGTCCATCGAAGAGAAGCTTGCTCTGAGGCATACAAAAGTCAGGTTTGAACATATTTAGATGCCTGAAAAGCATCACTTCTGAAGTATTTAAAAAATAATAATAAAAAAAATAATCAAGCTGTTCTACTGCTTTTACTCTTGGTTGTGTTGTGCTCATTCATGGTGCAAACTGCAAAGCTTAAGATAGATAACTGTATCATTTAAATGCAGCCCAAATTATTCTCCCTATACCAACAGAAATCTCTAACAAACAACCAAATAATTCCTTAACTAGGAATCACTGGGATTCAGGAAGTGCCATTCCACTGCCGACTAAGGACTACAGACTTATCTATAGCACTGCTCTGGATGCCATGAGCAGCAAAAACCAGGAGGATACCTACAGAATTTAGTATTAACATCTTGGGACATAGAGAAATTTATACACAAGATTCATAGTAAAACCATGGCTGCATGCTTACCTTAATGCAGCATGCCAACGCTTTCACCATGTCTCTCTGCAAGTTTCTACTTGCAGAAAGAAAAATATCTATTGCAACATCTTTAAGAGGCATCGTTCTTTTACATTCAGTTTCTCAGGGGTTTAATTTCAAGAAGTATCAACTTCCACAAAAATACCACAGAATCCATAATTTCACCAACTACTAAGTAAAAGCAACATTCAGGATAGTCAAACTGGCTTTGAAGCATTAGTAAATAACCATTACAAAAATGTAATGAAAGAAACAACCAAAAGGTTGTTACATCTGTGAGTGAAATGACAGGGAAGAAGGTGGGGGGAAGAGAAAGAGACAACAAAAAGCCTCATCCTAATTAGGTAAATATATGACATAGAAAAAAAAACAGTTGGGTGTGGTCATTTTATGATTAAATGCTAAATAATGATAAGAACTTGGCAAAAATACAGAATATGTGAGAATACAGTATATCACGCTCTGGCTTTCATGTATATCATTATCTTCCCCTACAGCAGCTTTCAGTTTCTCAAGGTTAGCAGAATTTATTAAATTGGTGATTTCGTAGGGGTGGATTTTTTTGTAATTGGGTATTACATAAGACAGAAAAACGCTGCCTGTCCTAAGAAGTAGTTCAAACCAAAGGTCCTCCTAAGCATACAGTGCATGAAAATTAAAACCAGGGAGTCTGGGTTATGAAAAGAAGCCATATGACTAAAAAGTGAATCCATTTTCCAAGACGCCCACACAGACAAGAGCTTCTGATGTGAAAAATGGTCTCTGCAAAAGCTAAATTGCACAGATTATTTTCATGAAAAGTTAGAAGCTGCACTACATGCAGATTATATGACATTTACTGTGATGAGATTTTTAAAAAAACATACATGTTTTGTGTTATTACAGTACGAACAATAACTTGATTGTTCAATGTATACGCTATAAGTGCCAATGGTTATTTAATTGAATAATTGTCTTCCTTTAGAATTTACATAGGCAGAGATGCTTGCTTAATTTTTCCAGGCTTGTTTCCCTCTTGCTGCAGGCAAGTTTTGGCTGCCTTCAAAGTTAGACACAACAATGTGCACTAGCCAACAAAGCACTTGGGGCTTACCTTGGCACTGAAATCCTTGCTTCCCAAACCCCCTGCAAGAAAGAAAAAAAAAAAAAGACCTGTTTTAGTATGTTTAGTTATAATTTCTTCTCAATGATCTATATCAACATAAAAACAGAATCACATTAAATAACTTCAGATGTTGCTAAGATAGCAACAAATTTTAAAATATACAACACAGAACAGCCCACCCATTTCGCAGCAGAGAACAATAGCTGTCACCAGCTATGTAATTTCAGCTTCTGGCAACAATATTTTTATTATTATTATTTTACAAGCTATTTTGGATCTACAATTATCATCCTCTGTGTTTATTGCATAATATTTCAACTCATTTAATGTCACACATATACTTAACAGCAATGTAAAATATTCCAAGTTCTAGCAAAGGCGTATAAAACAAAACAGATTCAGTTTTTCATCCAAATTTTAGGACTACATGCTGATGCTGTTCCGTGCCTCAGCTAGATACCAGCTGTTTGTTTTATGGAGAGAAGATGTGCCCATTGGTTTCCTACTGATTGTTCTCCCAGCTTCCTTGTTCATTTCCATAACAAAACACAAGTGTGTCTGTAATCCTCTACCAGTGCACATGGTGACACACAAGGTTGTACCTGGTATCCAGGGTTCCCACACATTCCAGCACCTCTGGCACTGTTGTTGGTTTTATTTATTTGTTTATATTTAAACATTCAACATTATCTTTCCACTAAAATAAATATTTTGAGTGTCCTCCCTATAAACACGTCTCTGCATTTTCCCCTCTTTGCAGAATGTTTTTATCTGGAGAGCTGGAGCTGCTGACGCTCAGAGACAAATGAGCCAAAGCCGTGAACTGCAGGAGCCAGCCAGTAGGCTGTATGCAACTGACAACACCAAGTTTAATTATAAAGCTTTGTGGAAGTGTGTTTAAAAAAATTCTGTCAACAATTTTCCCCACTTTATTTATTTGTTTAGAGAAGAAACAAAACCTTCAGCACACTGTTATTTCAGGTGGAAACCAAAATTATGCAGCTTGGAGTATTTCCACACGTTTCTGTGCAACAGTCTCGACTTGTTATTGCTATAAGTAGGCCTAAACTAGTAAAACCAGGAGAAATATAGAATTGTTTGTTTGCTTGGCAGCATATGTGACTACACTATACTGTCATTCTGCTGCTGGTATCTCTTGTCTTCACTGACGTAAAAACCATGTACCAACAGCAGGACTAAGAACACGAAATAGACTTTACATAGATTTTCATCCTTTTGAACGCTCCTCTTATCTCCTCTAGAACCTCTAGAAGCATTCTTCAGTGCTTGAGCTGAAACCATACACTAACCAGCTGCAGTCCACTCCCTCATCGGTTATAATGTATTTTAAGTAGAAGGTCTTTAAAAAAATATCAACACTTGTGAAACAAAGTAGATACGTAAAAGTTGTTTAAGATAAGGAGGCACTAACTATTTCAGTAAATATTACCTGGCCAAATGTAATCTAAGAAAACAAATCTATTTGCGTAGTTCATTGAAAGGTAGTATTTACTATTCTTTATAATGTAAAACATGTTAATTGGCACATGTCCCATTGGAAACAGATGAAGCACTTTTTATGGGGTATGATGCTTATTCAAGAGTGGCCCATCTTCAAATGAGGAAATGAGAAGTTCTCTAAGTTGTCACTCACTCGATGAATGTTAAGAGCTTCCTTAACAAGCAAAAGACAAAGAGCACAGCTACTCTTGCCACCTGTCAGCTACAGGAAACCCTTTCATTTTCACATCCATCCTGTCAGCGGGTGGCTTTTCTCGTGACAGCATTCCACTTTGTTTTTTAATTGTGCTCGTTATCTTCACAAACACAGTGTGACAATAACCCTGCAGCATTATTTCACACCTCCCAATTCATTCTGTTTTATATTAACTTTGAACCAGTTTCTGAAGGTCTCACTTTTACAACACCAAACTGGATTTTTTTTTTTTTCCGAAGAGGAAAAAATTAATTAATAAAAAAGAACAACTCAAAAAGTTGACCTGTTTCTCCTAATTTCTTCTGCAGTCTACCTATCTCAGTTTTCCTTCCTTTCCTGTCCTCCCTTACTCTGCAAATAGATTTCAATCATTTCAGGAGCAATCACAGTCTAGTCTTCAGCATGCAACCTGGGGAAAACTCAAGAAGGAAGGCAAAGCTCCCTGCCCAGGTGCGTAAATAGAAAGGAAAAGAGCAAGACACCTGCCCACAGACACAGAGCCAACCGGGTGCAGACCCCTCTAGACCTTTTACAACTTTGGCTAAAATAAATCACAGCTCTCCTCTCCAGCAAGGCGGCCCGCGGTGAGAGCTCCAGCAGCAGCGCAAGGCTGAGGCTCAGCCACCGCGCAGGGGGAGGAGAGGAAGCCCGAGCCGTCTGTTGTGCGCACTCGCTGGGTGTACAAAACACACGGGCACACACCCGCTCCTCTTGCCTCACCCGGCCGAGGGCAGGGGAAGGAGCCAGCACCTCCGCTCGCCCACTCGCCCGGCCCGCGGGGGAGCTGCCGCCCTGCCCAGGCGAGGGCACGGCAGGAACCCATAGGTATATTTTTCCCTAAGAGCTTAGTAATCAGGGTGTTGGTAGGAAGTTTTCCTCCCTTCCTCCCCTCTCTCCAGCAAGAGCCCTTTTCTTAAAAAAAAAAAAAATCCCTCCCTTTCCTAAACACGTAACGTAGCAGCGGCGGCACCGAGCGCTCCAGCCTCCCTGCCCTCCCTCTGCAGCAGGAGGAAACAAAGCAGGCACCGATGGCAAAGTTAAAGGCAGGGCTGCAGAAGTTGTGCCACACAGCAACACCCACAACCCGAAACAGAAACCCCCCGTCTCTCCCGCGGCGGCTGGAGCGCCGGCCGAGCTCCCCTCCGCCGGGCACGGCGGGCACCGAGGCGGGAGCCCGGCGGGTGAAGCCGGCCAAGGCAAGCGACACCCGGGTCGGGGGGGGACAGGGGGACAGGAGCTGAGGAAATGCAAATCTGGATGATGTGGGAAGGGACGTCCCCCAGTGTGGCTCTTCAGAGCCGCCCGGCCCCTGCGGCACCGGCCAGCGCTGCCCCCCCGGGCGTCGGCAAGTTCCGGGGCTCCCCCCGCCCCGAGACCGGGGCGCCCCAGGCTCGGGCAGGGGCCCCTCAGAGCCCCACCGGGAGGAGGGTGCGACAGAGCCGGGGCAGCGAAGCGACACGGCTCTGCCCCACCGGGGCTCACCTGCCCGACCCGGGGGAAGAGGCCGGAGGCAGCCGAGGAGGAACCGGCGGGTGGGAGGGGAGGGACGGCGGGGTCTGTCCCGGGGCGGGGGGGATGCCCTACAGCTGAGCGGGCGCCGCCGGGGTCTCTCACCAGATGAAGTCGGTGCAGTGGCTGCAGAAGGTGGGCTGCTTGAAGAAGCGCGCGATGAATTTGTGCTCCTTCACCTCGTGCACGTTCTTCTGCCTCAGGGCCCCCTTGCGAGCGAAGCGCCGCGCCGCGTCCGGGGCCGCGCCGGGCTCGGAGCCCGGGAACACGTCGGCCATAGCGCCCTCCTCTCCGCCCCCCCGCCGGCAGCCGAGCCGGGCTGCGCCGGG